TCCACACATCACTAGCCATCAGCCTCTCCTTGATTTTTTTTTAACTTAGGAAATTGAAAAATTAAGCCCTTAAAATTTAATGGCTTTAAAAACTCAACTTTAGTGTCTAAAAGTTGAGAATGAAATCTCTGAAAATGAACTGTGAACTTGGTAATGAAGACAGTGGAGCAGGTGGCTTTGCAGAGGAAAGAGAGTTGCATGTGGGCCAAAGATGCCCAAGTGAAACTCTCCAGAGGGGCTGTGGAAGAGCAGAGAAAGATCTTTGTTTTGTATTTGTCTTAATAATGGAAAGACCACTGCATATGAAATACTGTTCAGGGTTGGATTAAAAAAAACAAATAATGTAACTGCATTAATGACTACAATAATGTTCATACTACTACTATTAATAAATCAAAACAAATATAATTAGAAATTATTTTACAGCTTTTCATCAAAACTCACAATTCCCATATAAGCTGACAGAACTGAATCTATTCAGAAATTCCCTTACAGCCAGTGGAGAGGATTTTAAATGTTGCTAACTCAAAGAATGATCATTGTATAAGTTGAAGGATATGCCAGTTACCCTGATCTGACCATTACACACTGTGAATGAGTATGGAAATATGATATTGTACCTTGTAAATATGTACAATTACTCTATGTGTGTGTATGTATGTGTGTATATATATACATATATATATATATATATATATATGTATATATATATATAAAAGTACGTATATGCAAAAGACCATAATGATATTTGGGGGGAGAAGGGGCTGAGGATGACTCCCAGGACCTTTTCACTTAACTACATTCTATTTCTTTTTCTAATTTTTATTTTGAGATAAGATCTCTCTAAGTCACTAAAATGACCAGGCTGGGCTGGATTTTGTAACCCTCCTGCCTCAGCCTCCCTAAATTCTGGGATTACAGACAAGTGCTACCACATCTGACTGTGGATTCACTTTTTGGCTACTAACCAAACATATAATCATAAAAAGCACATCACAAGAACCTAAATTTTCCGTATTTAATTTTGTATAGTTTTCTCATCTTTGAACTGAAACTTGTTTTTTGTTTAAAAGTAATCTGAACATAATTCTGAGCAAAACTATAAGGTTAAAAAATGGATGCTTGATGTACTAAAATAGTTTTATCAGTACAGTGGATAAATTACTCTCTTCAGAACTTTATTTCCACCTTTGCTACTTAATTTGTATTCAAAAATATTTCAGTAACACTTACAACTTCCATTTTCTTTCTATCTAATGTGTGCACCTGATCCTTTACCCCACATCTCTTCTCTCCTCTGAATCAAGAGTCCCAGGGTGGCAACTTCTACAGCTCTGTCCCTGTCTCCAGGTCCCTTCCACTCTTATCTCTGAGTACCCCATCACCATCTGGGACCTGAACTTTCTTGAGGCTGCTGTTTCACAGCAACCCCTGTCCTTTCAGAATCAAGCCACCTCTGCTTGTCTTATAAGCAAAGATCCGGGTTTGGAATGTTTGATGTAATCCACTTCCTTCTAGATGCTGAGCAGAGAATCATGCTCTACTACCTTACTTGCAGACACAGTTCTAGCCTCAAGATTTAGTAAACATTACCACTCAGAAGGGTTTCCTCTGACCATTCTATCTAAAGCCTTGATTCTTTTTTTAGACATTTACCACAGTGTGTATTTATCTAATTCTGTCTGCCATTGTGGGGGACACTGAAGAGTGAACCCAAGGAATACTGAGCTAAATCTCAGTCCCTTTTTTTTTCCTTTTGAGACAGGTCTTGCTAAATTGCCCCACTGGGTGACCCGAAGTTTGTAATCTTTCTGTTTAAGCCTCCAAAGTAGCTGGGATTACAGGTATGCACCACCATGCCTAGCTAGTATTTGCTTTTTTAATCAGTCTGTAAAACCTATGAGGGGAGAGGCTTGCATTTGCTCAACAGTGGAAGCTGAATGTCTAGTACAGTGTCTCACACAAAACACAAAGCAAATATTCAACATACACCTGCTCAATAAGCCAACAAAATCTGGGCTGCTCCTATAGTTCTGCACTATACCTAGCTCTAGGGGAATAAAAGCAATAGACATGATCTTTCCTTAAGAGTTTATAATTTTATTGGGGAAACAAGACACACTGACCACAGAAAAGTGCATAAGTGTCAAAATATACTACCTTTACTTACAAGAATCCAGAAGAAATGAAGGAAGGAGCAGAGCCATCTAAGGATACATGGAGGAAATGTGATTTAGGCTGAGCTTCGGTGGATGAATTAAATTAGAGTGAGTGAAGAGTCCAGAGGTCCTTTCTCACTGAGAGGAAGTTAGCAGAGCCTATGCTAAGGCTGGAAATGCAATGAACCCTGGCTCATGCAGAAATGACACAAGCAGGATACACGCTGCTCAGCAGAGCTGGCCAGACAGTCTGGAAACAGGTTATGTAGGCTCAGATTAAGAAGAGCCTTGACAGCAAGGCTGAAGAATTTACACTTGATATCAGAATTAAAAGAAATGCCCCACAGGTTCAGGGGAGAGTTATATTGGCACTGGAAGAGAACTGGCCTACAGTTACAGGATCAACTGGTACAAGAGACTACTAGTAAGGAAAGCAACAAAGATGTGGTGGTCACTAGGGGAACCATTGTGAGAACAGAGAAGTAAAAAAAACTGAAGACTGCAAGTTCCCACAGCTTCCACCTCTTGGTTTAAAAATAAGAGCAGGAGAGGGAAAGGCAGAGGAGGAGGGGAAGGGGAAGAAGGGGAAGAGAGGAGAGAGAGAAGAGGAAGAAGGGGGGACAGAGAGAAAAGCAGAAAAAAAAAGAATGAAAATATGCATTCTTTGCCTCAGATCAATGTGTATTACTATGCCTTAGGACATGAGAACAACATAGCAAAATCAGACGTATGATTGAGGCAATGTACAATAACCATTTTAAAACAGGTTGGAATAATATAATCCTCGCCGATAGACTTTCTTCCCCCAAACTTGACCTGTATTTAAACTGTTTTTATATTGTAGCCTTTGTCAGGGACATAAACACAAAGAAAAGTAAAAACTGTAGGAACAACCAAGAAAGTCATACTACCATTCATCATTTATTAACCATCCAATCATTCATTCAGTACAAGTATTTATGGAATGCCACGCAGACTTGCCTGTGGGATGGATCTGCAGGGGACTGGCTCTGAGACTTCTCTTGGAAACCAAAATCCACAGATGTTCAAGTCCTTTATATAAAATAACACCAGCATATAACCTACACACATTGTCCCGTATACATTACATCACCTCTAGGTTACCTGTAATACTTAATAAAGAATAAATGTTATATAAATAGATGTTTCTCTGTATTGTTCAGGAAATGGTGACAAGGAAAAAAGTCTGCATATGCTCAGTACATTTTTCCGTCTTAAAATTTTCCATTCACAGTTACTTGAATGTGCTGATGTGAACCTGCAGATACAAAGGGCAGACAGTCCTCACACATCCCCAGCACCATGTGGGGTGATGTGATCTCAATGAACACCTCCTTCATCCTGGCATTTGCTCTTACCTCAATGTTTCAAATTGTCCTCTGGGATGGAAAAGACTCCAAGTTGGACAACTGGTTCTTCTGTATGCCAGCACCCTGGCCTTGAAATAAATAAACTAACTTCTCTACTCCTTCATTCTCTAACCCTTGAAAGAATAACTTCACAGGACACCAGCACACAAAATGTAACTGTGGGAGGCAATCATGAAAACAGCCCCAGCCATGGCCTTCCTGTCTTCACATCCTTAAGGAACTTCCTTCCTTCACATATAGGCCTAAAGCAGCCTCTTGCTTCTATCACTTCCTGGATTAGGTCATAAAGAAATTGTGATTTTTTTTTTCATTTTGCACACCTGAAGACAGCACTGTGCGACAAGGAAACGAAGAAGGCTAGCAGCCAGGGACACCTGAGAATAATACCTGCAGGAAGTGCTTCCTACAGGTGAATGAATGCGCAATAAAGTGGGTCCACCCCCGGAGAGACTACAGATGCAGACCTGACTGCAGACCTGGCTGCATGGAGCGTGAAGAACTGGAGCCAGTGACCCAGCCCATCACACCTGTACGCACTCGCTCAGTTCCATGTCGGACCAGTATCAGTGCTGCACGAAGGGCACTACTGCCGCTCAGAGATGCTTACATCATACTTTTCACCAGGGTACCTATGGATATAAGTTATATTAGTATACTTAGCTGAGAAAAAGAGTTTAAAAGTGTGTCATATAGTGTGGTAGATATCATTCAATAAAAATTTAGGGTAAAATAGGAAGTCAGAATTTTTGCTCTATATGTTTGTTGACAGGCATTTTTAGGAACTTAAAAATGAAAGACATTTTCCAGTGGATTGCTTTGGAACACTCTTTTTATGCTTATAATTAATTTTTCTAGAGACTTCTGTCTGATATCAATTCTCAGACTTTCTCTCCCATTGTGTCTTATGTGTGTCCTGTGTACCACTGATTCCTTCACATAATTTGTCAAAATTCTTTTTTTTGATGGTTACTTCAATTCTAGCTCTAGTAGTGACTGTTACCACTGACGACTTAGTTTTAGATGTATTAGATGAGAATGGATAAAAAACAGATTACTTTTACTCAAGACAAAGAAGTACTTAAAAGGATTTTTTTTAAAAACCCTATTTACTATTGTGGCAAATATTTTTAAAACCTTACATAGTATATTTTACAAAACACATTTACATTACTACATTAATTATCTATTGCTGTTTAACAAACCCTCCAAAGTTAGCCCAACCCCCTTCCTACTTCTTTTACTACATTTCAGTAATACTTTGAGGTTGTCTATTTAACTGGATGATGAATAATTCTACATAATAGTGTGTTACTGTGTAGTTCTTCCAATTGATACCAACCATATTGATAGCTTCAAATCAACCCTGGAGAGAGTATTTATACCACAAAAATAGGAACATACTACAAATTAAGGCTTTCTCTTTCTCCCATAAAGCCACTTAGGCCTCCCTCAGTATGAGAAATTCTCTTAGTCATCTCTGCCCTTTGGTCTGGAGCCCCAGAAGGAGTACACGTGAAGGAGACTTGCATTCCACCCAGTAAGAAGACAAACCCAGGCAGAACACAACAGGATGCGGACTACCAGCCAAGCACAGCCTACACTGGCCATTCCACATTCAACCAGCAGAAGATGATCTGAGAATAAGGTATTGGATAAGCTGAGTTATGAGAGTTTGTTATTAAATATCATTGAGGGAATAGCTGAGTGAAACTCATAGTAAGTTAATATTTAGTGAGCAGGCCTATCTGAAAAGGTATCAGACTGCCATTTAAGAAAAGAAAAAAATGAGAGCACGTAAAGGCCCTGAAAGTGAGAGGAAAACAACCAATCCCTGAGAGAGTCATAAAAATTCCATGCTCCAAATAGCATAGTGTCTTTTTAAAAAAAAAATTATATTTTTGCAATGCTGGAGATGGAACCCAGGGCTTTGTGCATGCTAAGGCAAGCACTGTATCACTGAGCTACATCCCCAGCCTCAGAATAATACTTTGGATAGCTTTACAAACAGATGGAGGTATCATCAGATAACATTAAGGACTAATTTTGGTGTTGAAGGATGACTTGCGAAGGGAAATCAACAAGAATTAATTTAGCCCTACCGTGCACTGGGCAAAATACCAGGCACTGTGGATTCAAAGTGAAAGAGAGACGCACAGTCAAGGTGCTAACAGACAAAGGAGAAACAGTTAAGTAGGTGAAAGGACAAGGGCGGGAGGAAGTCAGCAGGAGAGATCCAGCCCAGCTCCTGGGATTAGGGAATGCTTCCCAGGGGAGATGATTTCTGTACTAACAATACTCTAGTAGACACATCAGAAATAACTAAAGGCTAAAAAAAATTTTTTTAAATGTTTAAATATGCTGAAATTTAAAAAGAGAGAGTCTCTACATGGGAGCCAGGTAGATACATGATTAGACAAATGCATCCATGACAGCTTGGACCATTAACATTGTAAGGGGTTAGCCCATTTCTGCTCTCCCTGCATGAGGCAGAGGCTGTGACAAAAGTCACATTCATCTACCAAACCTCAGAGACACCCATACAACCTGGCCCAACACCGCAACCGTTCTCCCTTTTCATTGACACTTTATGCATTTACCTCTGAGACAACCTAGAGCACATACCAGTAGCAAAACTCAGATGTTTAGATTTGTTCACAAGTACTGTCTGCAAACAGTAAGATATCCAGGCCAGTTAATACAGCACTTGGGCCATGGCTTCCAGGAAACACTGCATCACAAAAGCTAAAATGCCTTGTGCTCCCAGCCATGGGAGAGGAGGCAGAAGTGTGGAGAATGCCATATTCTTTTTAAGTATACTTTTTTAAAATCCAAAGTATACCTCTATTACTCACACTTAAAATGGCATGCTCACTAAACTAAGCAATTCTAATTAGAAAAAAAGTGAAATTCCAAGGTTTAATTTGATTTTTGAAAATTTAAACAGCCCTAACTCATAATGGATGGTCCTAGTCATAAAACAGCAAGTCTTAGATTTTTGCTTCAAGAATTCTACAGGGTCTGACTACCCTGCAAATATATTAATTTAAAAAAAAAAAGACCTTCATTTCAGCCACACTGGTAAATCAAGCATACTAAAGTCATTCTACTGGATGACAATTCAAATATTGAAACACAGAAGGAAAATGGAATATTTGACAAGGCTTTCATTTAGAAACATCTCAGGATTCAGTTTAATCAAGCACCAATCTATTCTTCTGAGATTGTTTGCCTGCGATGAAATATTAAAATTAATAAGGCCGTTTTCTTTGGAGACTTGGGTAAAAAACTCAATGGAGATGCCACCAACAAGACAAAATAGTTTAAGGGAGAAAAAGTAACTTGAATTACCAACCCATTACTGCTTTTCTCTACTAGTATTAAATACACACTTAAGGTAGTTCCAGGATAAACCCAAAATATAAACTATAAAAGAGACAAAACACAGGTGCCCTGTTTTATTTTCCTGTTTCTACTGCACTTCAATCTTGAACATCCTCATATTTGATTCTTTTTCACCAAATATTTCTCTCCTCAGCTGCTTCCCTGACATGCCAAGTTAAACTTTCCCAGATCTTCTTGTACTAATCATAGCACAGTAAACTCTGGCAAAAATAACTGAGGTAAGTTTCCCTAAAATGACTGGTATCTATGGCAAACATGCAGATTCAAAATGAAGATTTTTTTTTTAATATTATAGCCAAAGTTACCACATTGCCACAAACCCTAAAATAGCATGGAAATACTGATGTCAATAACACACACACACACACACACACACACATGCAGGCCCGGCCGCGACTACATTAACCACACAAATGAAGTTAGTAATTTCCCTCAAGTTGTAGAACATCAATAATGTAAATGACTTATTGGATGTAATTAAAGAGCAGATTATAATTAGAGTTAGGTCTAATTCCCATCTTGCCCTCCACATTTCTAAAGTTCAACTAGAAAACCCAGACTTTTTGTTGAAGACAAAAAGGTAAAGGCATGAAAACTAAATGGTGAAGTGAATTCTGAAGAAGCAATTACACCCCACAAGCAGCAAAAGAGGCAGGCGCTGGCCAGGTGTTGAGAACACATAATTGGGCCTTCACTTCCTGTGCTGCGTTCAGGAAGCTTGGAATCACCACTCCCATGCCACAGGAACTTTGGTTGGTTATACAGACATAAAGTCTTCAATAATATGCAAACCATGTGGGCCACTGTTAGACTACATTACTCAGAACATTTTAAGTTCTCGATTTTGTTTTCCTTATATTAAAGATGATTCTAAAAATTTTGTAAATTACTTTATATAAAACATCAGATGGCAATTTCGATCTTCAGCATACCGTAAGTACATACTTAGCTTTTACTCTAATTTTTTTTCAACAGCCAATGTCATTTGGTAAAAGCAACTTCTTAAATACTTGAAAGTTAAAAACTAATTTTTAGATTTTGTGCTCAATGACACAGGCAGACACTGGGGAGTGGGAGAAGTAGTGAATCAGAGGCTGGAGTAACTATGTTGGAAAGGGCTCTTCCAACTTCCCATTTCTTTAAAAATGTGAAGACTTGTTATGAAGTATAAAATAGTTAAATGATGTCCCAATTAGTGATCAAGGGGTCAAAGTTTTGTAAAACATCCCAAGGTTTTCAGAAGAGAGTAGGACACTGATTATGAGCAGGCAGCTTAGGTGGCCAGCGATTTAGCAGGCAGAGGTCACTCAGAACTTTGTTTACAGAACTGACATTCAGAATCCCACCCTGGCTGTCTTAGGCTAGGTAAGTATGCGGAAATCCAATTGATGTTATATTACACTTCAAAGCAGAGATCTGATCTCCACATTTTAAATCAACAGGAATGACTTAAGACAAATAGCTAAGTAGCACACTTCATTTAAAGTTTAGTTTAAAAATCATCTGAATTTTCAATCACATTGATAACAAGCTTTTAAAAGTTAAGTCTTTAAACCTAGGCATTACAAAGAAATAGGATGCCAATTTTGAGTCAGACATTTGTTGTGACACTATGAGTAACTGCCATCAAGGGTAACTGCTTGAGCCTCCAGCACTCTTGAGTTATTAGGTCTACTCTTACAGTCGTAACTGGTTTCATAAAGAGCTTGACACATCTGATGTCATCCACTGAATCTGAGGAATGACTGAAACACGAATTAGAGTTAAATGGAAAATAAAGGGTACAATGATTTTCTGAGATTTGGTATTAAAATAAATTAATAAATTAACAGTATCTCTATGAATTTAGTTACTATATTATTCCTTATAACAATACCAGGTTGCATCACATTTACATTATACTACTTTGTTTTTATTATTCCTATATAAGCTAAAATGACAAGTAGCCACAGAATGTCACTTTTTTAAAGCTCTCATTTTAAGAATTTTTAGCACTGAGAGAATCTCCAGGCTTCAGCAAGATGTAAAGCATTAAGAGTCTATAATTGGCATTTAAAATATATGTGCTTATCACAATTCAATTTCTGATGTCTGTCTCTAACCAGTAACATCACTTCTCTAAAACCAATTCAAATAATTTATCACAAAATATTTTAAGTATATCATTTAATAATGATTAATGATCAAAAAGCTCTCTCTTCTAAATACACCTGATTTAATGCCAAAAAGAATTTATTGCATTTATCCACTACAGGATATAGAGAATAACTATGAAACATTGTTTCAGTTGTTAGCAAATGCCCTATAATTTCCTAAACTATCAATCTCAATTCCAGAACATTTTAACCTGTTATAATAAAATCAGAATAATAGCAAATGGGGCAAAAATACCACTATTTTAAGTATTCTATGAACAAAGAATATATTTCCCTTTAAAATGTTTTAAGACCAAAGATAGAAATATTTCAAATCTGGAAGGACCATCTTACTAGAGGAGGAGGAAAGGAGAACAGAAGTGTAATGGACTAGAATTTGAAGGGCAAAATAAAAGTGAAAATTCAAAGCAAAATTGTAAAGGTCACAAGATAATTCAAAGCTATTCAAAGTGGTTTTATAAAAGCACATAACTTTAGTCTTAATTTACCTTGACTTTTTTTAATGATAAAAAAGACAACTAAGCAAATACTATGACTAATTTCAAGATATTTAACTAGTTGGGAAGAGGGGGAAACCTATATTAAAGTCTCTCTTTTCATGTAGACATTTGCTAAATTAACTAAAGCATAAAAAACAGCTTCTCCAACTCATGTTCCACTAGTTAGGAATGGGCAACATATGTCCTTGAAAATACAACTGAAATAAATATGATATAACTGAACTGTGCAACACCACTACCACCTCCTCAAGGCAGCAGCTGTTTTGAACCATATTATTAAAACAACATTGGTTGGGACGTAGGTTTTACTCATCATTCTGAGAAGTTAATTGGAATAATTTTTTTCTCCATTTCATACTCTGAAAGAATTAAATTTAGGATGCTATATTTTAGATAATTGTCTATAAAATCAGTGCCTCTATTAAAAATGATATACAAAGAATAAAGAAAAATGACTTGATATACAGTTCCTCATCTCCGTGGGCCTCCATTTCATCTCTAAATGAAACATTGGATTTATAATGGTGTTAATCTTTCCTGGGCTGTGACACTTGGATGAAGATCTTTCCTCTTCCCCATCTTAGCTCCTTAAAAAATGGACACATGCTCAACACTTTCTATGTGATGATAGGGATTCAGAAAACTACAATGCCCCACTGTCTAAAGCCCATCCATTGACCCCACTTCTTAGTTAGTAATGGAAAACTTCTATAGAAAGTTCCCCTAATTCTAATATTCTGATACTGTCATCTGCCTACTATCCCTTGACAATTTACCTCCAAAAACAAAAGGTTGGGCCTGCAGGCACCATAGTCAGAATCTGGCTATGACAATGAATGAGTATATTTCAGAGAACTAAAATAAAAAAAAAGCCCTAAATGTGACCTCTTCTCCAATTCCAGTTTTTTAAAAAATGAACTACTCTGAATGTCCTCTCTGAAACAAAAAATTGTAACTTGCTAGAACTATGCCCTCAAGGTCATCTCTTCCAGATTCCTCTTTGGGAGGGGGTATGGTAAGGTCTGGATCCCAACTTCCTCGGACTTGACCTACTGCAGCCCTAAAAAGCCAGCCCAACTAGACAGAATGTCTCCATTCTAGAGGAGTAATAATTCTACAAGGTGTGGGCACCTCTATCGGGGAGTGTCAATCCATAAAGTGAGCTAAACCAATGACATTTCTCTCTCAATAATTTGAACTAAGAAACAAATGAGCTAGAATAAGACAGTGGGAATATATGACTGAATCTGACCTTGAGTGTAGGTACTGATTGCCACAACAAATCTGGTTGCAACAATTTTTATCCTTGGCTCTGCCTAAATGCCAACTTGCCAAAAAGCCAATAATCTCCTATTCTTCAAGTATAATCTTTGGAAAAATATGAATCTGCACCATAATCACTATTACATAGAGCTGTTTGCTATTTAAATAAGATTTATGATTTGAAAAGCTACTGATACTGTACATACATGTATCCAATAGAGATTTGATTGTTCTTTTAAATCTGACAAAAAAAGAGGGAAGAAAAACTAAGTCAAACTGAGCTTTTCCTCAACTACTAAAATACTGTAGGTACTAAAAAAAAAAAATTAAAGGAAAAAAAATTTGCAGATTAACACTTGTTGATATGAAGGATTCTAGAAGTCAGGACACAGTAACTCATGAAACCAACAATAAATATTACAGATCTTGATCAAAATTCATTTTTTACTTCTGAAAGCTATTTGGGTCACTTGAATATGAAAAAACCAAAAACATGCTTTTCTTTCCTTCAAAATTAATCCCTTAGAATTAGAAATATCAGCCATGATTTACAAATGTAAGTAGATCTCCCATTTGCATTTAAACTTAATCATAACTTAAACAGAAGGGATTCAGCTTAATTTTTCAGAGGTAGATTGAACTCAGAGGAATTAAGTTGTTTTAAGAAAAAACAAACAAACAAAAACACACAAACTCATTTTGACTAGCAAGCCAAGAGTCATGCCAAAGGGAATGAGAATTTTAAAAGTACAGCCTAAGGCCCGATGTGAAGGTGACAAACACAGGGTATACTGTACTCTGCACAATAATAAATGAATTACTGAAAACCACCTCTCATCAAAGCCCACTGAACATCCATTTTGTTTAGTTTCAATTTTAGATTCTCACTTTTTTAAAGTCCTCTTGCTACCTTGAACTTTACACATAACTGTAATGTTAAAAACCAATTTTATAAAAATAAACAAAAGATCTATGTGGGCATCATCTAATATACAGTCACAGACGATGGGTGCACAGCAAGAGCTTCAAAAGATAATCCCTCAATAATAAGAGAAGTTTCACACAGACTTCCTACAGCAGCACTCCTGGAAGTCCAAACAGTCTCTTCTTAGGAGAAAATATAACACAAGGAGCAAACGAAGACATATCAAGTGGACATTGCCTATCCTGAAACGGCCCTTTATATGTAATTCTATAATGTCAAATAGTGACTCAACCAAAAACCATTTCTGCCCTAGAATACAGATCTGAGCATATGTCAACCATATAGAGTTCATTTTTAAACAATGATTCATTCTA